CGGGTCCTGGAGCTGTCTGTGACCTTCACCCCGCAGGGGAGCCCGCTGCTCAGGCCCCTCTGGCTTTTCCCTTCAGCCCCCCCAGGACGCTCAGCTTGAACTCCAAACTCCCCTGGCTGACCATCTCCAGGCCCGACTGTGCCCAGCAGTGGCCTGGCAGGGGCCCTCAAGGGGAGGAAGGAGGAGCAGGAGAGGGCTGGAGGAGGCCAGCACTGCCCTGGGAGTGAGCAGGGGACACTCCCCACTCAGCTGCCACTTTGGTCAGCGCGGGCCCCAGTGGCGCTGAGGGAGGCCCATGTCCCAGGACACAGGTCTCCGGGCACACAGGGCTTCAGTCTCCCCGTGGGAGCTGGCCTTTGCACTGTCCATTCTTCCTGCCTCCAGCCCTGTCACCTGGATCTGGGCCAGGAAGTGCGGGGTGGATCTGCCCAGAAGGGAGGGCCTGGGGTGGCTGCAGGGAGCCCCTCACCCGCGCCCTGGGCAACCGCCAGGAGTGTGAGAAGCACAGGTCTGCTTCACCTGCACGTGAGGCCTCGTGCAGGTCTGGGGACAGGAGCTCTGTGGAGTGGTCACCTGTTCCCAGGCGTCTGAGGGTCTTGAGGGTCTGTCCTGAGCCCCAGCGCAAGGTCTGCTCAGCCTGGCTCTTCCCGTGTCCTCAGAATCTCAGTGTGGATGCTGGCAGGGAGAGGTCTGGGTCCAGGAGAGAAAGAAGTCACTTCTCTCCACCCTGCCACCAGATGGACTTGGGGGATGACCCACAGCTGGCCTCCTGATGCCAACCCCACAGAAGACCACAGAGGTGACCCCAGTGAGCCCAGAGCAGGCCCTACAACCATCGACCCCAGCTACCCTCACAAGCCACCTGCACGGAGACACCCTGTTGACCCTGGGGTGGCCAGGTGGGGCAGGGGGCCTACATGGTGTCAGGGACTTGAGGGCTCATCAGAGGAGAAGAGTGCAGGATCCACATCGCAGCGCTGGGGTGAGTCCACACCCTCACTGGTTCCATCGCCAGGGCCTGGCAGAGCTCCTCACACACCCCTGAGCCAGGGCCCACGTGGCAAGGGCAGGCTCAGGCGGGGAGGATAGAGGCTCTCTGCCAGCCCACGGATGCTGCCTGACCTTCCATCTCTCTGTCTCTGTCTCTCTGAATCTCTCTTTCTGTCTCTCTCTATCCCTGTCTCTGTCTCTCTTTCTCTGTCTCTCTCTCTGTGTCTGTCTGTCTCTCTGTCTCTGTCTCTCTCTGTGTCTGTCTCTCTCTGTCTCCTCTGTCTCTGTTTCTCTCTCTCTCTGTGTCTGTTTCTGTCTTGTCTCCTTGTCTCTCTATCTTTGTCCATCTCTCTATCTCTGTCTCTGTCTCTCTTTCTATCTCTATTTCTGTCTCCTCTCTCTCTCTATCTCTCTGTCTATCTTCTCCATCTCTGTCTCTCTCTGTCTTTGTGTCTGTCTGTCTCTCTCTGTTGTTACTCCTCTTAGACTCACTACAAACACAGCTGCTCCTCCCCCACCCCGTTCTCACATCTGCCCAGGCCCTGAGGGAATGGGTGGGTGGCCCAATCAGGACTCAGACTCTCCTGGGGGAAATAGACAAGACTGGTGACAGTCCCAGGTCAGAGTGGCTGGTGCTCCGGGAGAGGGAGGCCAGCAGCTGCGGAGCCTGAGAAGGACTGGAGGGCAGGCAGTGCCCGCTCTGGGCAGGAGGTGAGGATGTGAAGTGAGCCAGCCAGGGATAGCTCAGTGGCCGGTCTGCTCTGCTGTGAGGGGAGGCAAGGAGGCACACAGCCTCCACCAGGCTGCTGGGCCACACCCAGGGTAGGACTGCCAGGAAGAGGACTGGGGCCTGGCAAACAGTCTCTAAATCTGCTGCTGGCAGGAGAGAGGCAGGAACTTAGTGGGAAATTTCCATAACAGCCGAGACAGGCTGAACCTGCAGGGCGGCGCTGTCAGTGGGCTGAGATCCAAGAGGGGACCTCGGACGGCAGCTGGATGCAGGATGGTGGACAGTGGTTGGACCAGGAGGGGAATGGGCAGGGGGCCGGAGCAAGCGGGGGTGTTCCACCAAGTGGACAGCGTTTGGGGCGTGTGTGTTTGGCCACAGCCAAGCCCCAGCTGTGGGACTCGGGCCAGCTGGCAAGACA